CTTACTTGCCTGGATGAGAGCCATTCTGGCCTCTCCCGATTCGTTTATCAGGAGGATCATTGAGGCCCCGTGCCATATGCATACCAGTGGTTTAGACTAGTGAAGATGAGTCAATTAGTGATTTTCATGGGAAATCCCTCAGCCTTTGAGTAAAGATGAGCATGATGTTTGACCACTTTGGGTTAGATGCCTCATACGCTTTAAAATGTTAAGCAGGAAAGTCAAGGCATGCGATAATGAGTCATTGTCGCCCTTCAGCAACGACAGTAAAATGTTGTCTGAACTATGTGATTTGTTCCACTTCAGTGGCACCAGCTTGTGTCCAATCTCGTTGATAGTGGGTGTTGTATAGACGACGTCCCAATTGACTCCAGATGACGCGGATAGCGATTTTGACACGTCAGGCTAGCCGAAATGCTCTTCACAATGTTGAACCCCACATTATTGTTTAAGCGATAAGGCATGAAACAGATGCTCATCTTTTGAATGGAGCTATTCAATGCCACCTGAGTGTGTGTGTGTGTGTGTGTGTGCATTAATGGTCAAACACGACAAGGCTTTTAACGTTTGCGACGCGCATTAACCGTGTCTCTGGTCCATACAGTAATGATGGCCGTATTGTCTTATCGTAAACCCTTCTCTTACCCAAGAACTTTGGCAGTCTCCGAGGCGCTGAAATGCTGGTGCGCGCGACACTCCTTTTTGTTGTATACGTAGCGTCCCACCATTTCCCTCGAAGTCCCCTGACCCATCAGTTCAACCGAGTAATAGTCTCGCAGCCGTCGAAATGTATTCCTTAAGCGCACATTTCTATTCTGCCCCAGTACAAGTAATGTGATAGCAACATCACCTCATTGACCCACGCTATACAACATCGAGTTCATCATTTATTTGGGCGCTCCTAACAGCGTAATGTAGCACTCATCATGGTGAGTGGACTGCTTTTGTAGGGGGGTTAGCTAGTACAGCTAAAGACGTCATCTCATATGTGCATCATTTGCCTCTTCAATCTGTAAAACTTTTTCCACATTTACATTTAGTTTTATGCGGCGTGCACTGGGGGACAGTTTAGCCTAAATGAGGAACCTCGATTCTGCGGGTGACGATGTTAGCCTATGCAACCTAGATCAGGGGTTGGCAACACGGGGACTTTTTGGCACCCCCGTTGCTTGTCTATCCGGTTACGAATACGGCTGCGCATACTTAGCGTTCTTGAGGCGTCGTTGTGTGAATAAAAAACTCGGCCGATTTGCATAGATACACATCAGGTTTTCGGTAGCTTATAAGTGGGGTTTATGGAGGAGCACTCGTGCTTATTGTCAGCACGGCGTGTGTCGCATCTTACCTTGTAGGCTGAGAGTTTGCCTCCTCTGAGGTCTTCATCTTGCTCCATTTGAGGTGGCTCTGTCAGATACATGTTCTTCGACCGGGTGCAACACCTCAGTCCGACTACTCTTGCGGAATTATACTGAAATGGCTGCGTGCTGAGTTGTCCGCTGTTTGCGGATAAAGTAGTTAACCTGTTTCCGGTCCGGCGTCCCTTCTCCTCTGAAGATCACAGAGTGACGGATCTGGATTGATAGAAACAACGGTGGAAATATCACGAGGAAACGATGAGATGCGTACAGGTGTCTTGGGTACTATTTTCGGTCTTGTAGTCCAGTAAGCGGAAAAACGTGAAATAATGGAAACTACACCCAGCAACTCGTGGCAAGTCTTCATATTCTTTTTCAACAAGGTTATATATATATATATATATATATATATATATATATGGTTGGCGGCATCCGGTTTCGGATTTGCCTGTCACTGTGGCCAGCCACAGGAAGCCTGCGCCTACAGAGGGACCATGGGTGACTTGCGCTGCACCACCCACAGCTCCACCCACACACCCTATATCCAGTGTAAACCCGAAGGAATAAGACCTAGTTTAATTGTAAGTTGGTTTAACCCAACTGCGATGAAGAAGCATCGTGAATGCAACGTCAGCCTCAGCATGGGGCAATTCACATATATATATATATATATATATATATATATATATGCTGAGGCTGATGTTGCATTCTTGATGCTTCTTCACCGCAATTGGGTTAAACCAACTTACAATTAAACTAGATCTTTATAATGTGGATAAAATTCATTCCACTTTATTTGGTTTGTTCTGTGTACTTGATAATCTTCTCCCAACTTGCAGACGTCGCTCATGCAAATTGTGGTAAACTTGCGTAATTTTATCGAGTGGTATTTTGTAAATAAATTTCGGATATTTTGTACTTATTTCGGATTCGCTTTTAACCAATTTCTTCCATATGCTCATTTAGCGAGCCTTTATGTCGTCATATGCGTTTACTTTATTCGATATCGGTATTTCGAATGATTGGCTGTTGTTTGACATCCCAGGTGTGGTTACGCTTGATGTGTATGTTGACAAGGTGCCTACCTGTCTATCATCCACTACCTCGTCCATACTGGCTCCAGGAGACAGTTGGTCGTTGCTGGAGGGGACGGGGTGCACGGTCCTTGTGGCCGTGCTAGGCTCGAAGAGTGGTTCCATGCACTCAGTGTGGAGAGAACTACGGTCCAGCCACCGCCTTGTGTGCACTTGATTCTCCAAATACAGCATGCTTGTGTTTGTCTGTGAAGGAGTGTGGGCCTGCTCCGTTGAGGAAACGTGGCTTCCATCCGCATGCCTCCCGGTCTTATACCTTCGGGTTTACACTGGATATGGGGTGTGTGGGTGCAGCTGTGGGTGGGGTAGCGCAAGCCACCCATGGTCCCTCTGTAGGCGCAGGCGTCCTGTGGCTGGCCACAGTGACAAGCAAATCCGAAACCGGATGCCGCCAACCATATATGTGAATAAATAAATAAATAACTAAATTTGTATATTTACCGACAGATGATACACGACCCCATAAGTGGGAGCGATCATTTGTTTAGTGAATACATTTCATAATAGTAAAGAAAAGTTTATTAATAACATTTCGGATCATGATTTTTTTCCTTGGGTTCTAGACCCGTGCACCTCATATGTGAAAGTTACGGATGTTTGTATCATCAGGAGTTAATAATAAAGGGAGGGACTACTAGGCTGCAAAGACACAGGATTTGGTATTGTATGTAATGACATGTAGTGGGTAAGCTATCTGTAAGCGAATATCTGCTCATATATCTTTTATACCACCTTCTGTCAATGTTTCTAGAGTTTGCTGTGAGTCAAATATCTTCAACACATTTGGTGTAGTGAGGAAGGTCTGAAGGCGATTTCGAAACATGACATGGCTTGTACACATGCGTATCTGTAGGGGTAGTTTGTTTCACAGATCAGTGTATCTCACTAAGAAGAAATTCGACCGGGTTTTATGACTTGAAAAGTTTGTGCGTATCAAGTAGCCGCCATTACGTGTGGGGTAGACTGCAGTCTTCCGTAGTTCGAGTGCGGTGCGGTCTGCGTAAATACGTTGGTTTATAATATTGTAGCAGAGAACGAAGTTGTTCTTGAAGTGTCTCAGCCAAAGAGCATCCAGTTGGAGTTTTCGACAGCGATCATAATAAGTCAGGTTTGAGCAGCGCCACATGACCAGGTTGGTAAATGATCGTTGGACATTTTCCAGAGCCGTCCTGTTTTTCTTTCTCAATTGGCTGTAAACGGTAGTACAATATTCCAGAGTCGGTCGTACTATTTTCTTGAATGACTCAAGTCGTGCCTCAGGTAGGAAAAAGTTCTGGTGATATATCCGCATAACTGTCGCTTTCGCAACCTGATAAAGTACATCTTCAGGAAATTGAAAGTCTTTGAGTATCTAATTCCTAAGTCCCGAACTGAATCAGATGTTGGGATCACGTTTCCGGCAAGTATGATGGAGTCTTCTTGGATGCGGCATCTGTACCCAAGTACTTGGGATTTCACTGCGGAGAACTTCATTACTAAACGCTCACTAGCTATATTTAGTGCGGACAGGTCTTCACAGATTTTCCCCAAACATATATGTAGTTGGTCTGGATGAAAGGAATAAACCAGTTTGACGTCATCTGCAAACAGAAATAAGTGTCCATGTTTGATCGGGTCACATGTATTGTTTACTTAGATTAAGAAAAGTAGTGGTCCGAGCACACCTACCTGGAAGACACCGCTGGTTATTGGTTTCGGTGTAGAATGTTGCTGACCGATTTTAACTACCTGAGTTCGACCGTTTAGGTATGAGTCGAACCAGTTAATCAGAGGATTTCCAATTCCATCTGACTCTAGAGCAGACAGCAGTGGCTTGTGCGGCACGCGGTCGAACGCCTTTTACATGTCCAACAGAATTATAATAATTGCCATTCTTCTGTCAATCATAATCGTGACGTGATCGAGAAATTGTAGCTGGTATGTAACGCAGGAGCGTTTTGAGAGAAAGCCATGCTGTGAGGGGTTGATCAGATCCAGTCTTGTAAGATATTGGGCAATGTTCTTCTTGACTATTCGCTCTAGGGCTTTGGAAGCAGCAGAGGTGTGATTTACTGGACAATAGCTTGACACTTGATTTTTCGGGCCACCCTTGTGCTTAGGCATTATAATGGCTTGCTTCCATTGAGTTGGAAAGCAGCCGGTAGTGAGTGAAAGTGTGAAGATGTTTAATTACAAGAAAGCGAGGTTTTTTCCTCCGAGTTTTATGACAGTTGGGGAGATGCCATCTGGACCTGGATGAGTTGATGATTTTATGGCTGCGATGGCACTTTGCACCTCTCTTAACGTCACATGGATATTGTAGTATAGTTCGGTCGTTCTTTTTGGAAGTGGAGGATGAAGTGACTGAATGTTGGGGACAAAACAGGTGGCGAAACTAGAGTTGATAGCCTCGCATATACAGATGTCGCGCGTTATTGAACCATCGTCTAGAGCCAACGTTTCAATTTCCTAAAGTGTTTTAGGGTTCCTTCTTTTGAGTAGTTGCATCAATATATATATATATATAATCTATGTTCCTCACTGTGGCCCTCTGATCCTTCCTCTTCTGCAGTCATAACACCGAGAAGGTCATCTACTTCTTGCTGCTGGATCGCAAGTTACGAAATCCGAGTTCTGATGACCCAGAGGAGATTCGCTCTCGGAGTAGCACTCGTGAGTTCCATCGCACACCATGTTACTCGATATTCACCTAGTGATCTCTTTTCTTTGCTGTGTGCCAACCACTGCACAACTTCCTTTTCGACTGAACACTTCCCAAGCATTTCCTATGCATTAGCTGCTAGTTTGTTTAATTGCCCATCAGGTGTATTCCAGAGGACAGATTCGGAAACCTTAATTCGATGTGTTTTTGTACCTATGGAACCGTCGTGCTAGCTGCTAAATAGGTCCATTAGTAGCAAAATGCAACGCCTTTGAGTATTGGCGTGATCACTGCGAAAGCAGAACTTCAGATGCGGCCGTGCTCCAGTGAGTTTACCAAAATTTCACATTAAGCTCAACTTTAAGTGCGCCTGACACGCTGTTTGGGGGAATCATTCGCACGTCGTTTATTATTGCTTTATTACCTTTCCATCAACACTGATTATCTCAGGTTGATGCATCATCGCATTCGCTGTTTGAAGGTCCACGCATTTGGGAAGATTCAACCAGGGTAATTTGGATTGGCTACACTGCGTGACCAATTATAACAAGTGTCCTCTCTGGTTAGTGTCATCACCCGGTGTATAAGGTGACATGGTTGGGGTTCATGGTGACCCGATAAACCATTAGAAAATCATTCCGTGATCATCGATACCGACAGCTGTACTTTGGTGCATATACCAATCCACATCGGTGTGGGGATGGAACTGGCCTTCAGATATACTAATCACCCTCCATGGTGGATTCTCGGACACAATATGACTGTCTTTTGCCATCATGAAATGCTGTATATCGACAGAACGACTGAAGGGACAAGCTGCCTGATAGCCTTTAGGGGTCGATAGTTTCGGTTCAGGATTACCGTCACTGTTACTGCTTGATTCCAGTGGCTGAGGTTGTCTTTGTAGATTTTGCAAGGCGCAGTCACTGACTATATATACCCTATTTTGGCTAGTAACCCGGATGAACCACCTTGCATTTAGCTGACGACGCATAACTGTTTCGATTATTCTGAATTTCTTTGCTTCCTGGAATGGCCTTCACTTATCCAGCCGACGCATACTCCATCTCTTATTGGATGCTTTACGCACAGAAATGTGCCATCTGAGTGCATCTCGAATATTTTGCGTGATAGTTGAGCATTTCACGACGCCTGATAAATGCTGGTTCTCTTGTCTAAACAACTGGAACAACCACTAGGTAGCGTGTCCTAGGAACCGAGTACAGTGGAATATGGGTATGCAGTCACCCTCGTTACATGCCTGCTGAATCGGTGTGACGAGCCTGGGCTTCTTGCCCAAAATACGGCACCTGCAATGTATCGTCCTTTTATTCCCACATGCTTTTCGTCAAATTCAAAGCGTGCTGCATTTTTTAAATGCAAAACATGAAATTAGAGAACCGCCGCTGCCCATAGGCAAGACACAGATGACAACAGTCTGACTGCTTACAACTCCAGTGGCATAAGACGAGCGAAAAAGCTAATGCCTTACGGATCTCATAGAATGGTCTAGATGAATATAGCTAACTCAAGGAAATGCGGGTCAGTAAGTATAAGTGCGCCCTGATGAACTCACTGTGATATCTTCATTATAGAAATCTTAAGTCCACCTCTATAGGATTTGGGAACACAAGTGAGTTTCAGAGACAACATTCGCAGGGAGGGGTTCCACGGCTGCCTTGCTTGAAGTTTCGATAACATTTCAGCCGGCTATACTGAGTTGCCAATCGCAGGTACTAGAGTCTCAGGTTAGTGTGATGACTGTTACAGGAGAGGACTACAAATTTGGTTGGGGGTTCTTCAATATTCGGCAAGTCATTATGAGGTTCTCACCGAGGCATTAACACAGACCACAAGGGCTTTTAGTATAAACCGATAGGACAGATGGAAGACGCCCTAACATTCTTAGGTTCCCTTCAGTGTGAAGCCTCTAGTACTGCGAGATCCGGCTTTTACCGGGGATGCCACGCCTGAATGGCGTATCCCTCGAGAAGTCGCAGTTAGACTTTGAACATTTATAAAAATATAACAGGGCGAAACAGTTTAACAGCTGCACATAATGCCAACATGTTGACTGTGGGTTCCCGATGTTTTTCGCATTTTTTTAATTATAGCAGACGAGGTCGTCCTAAACCAGTATCGCGAGGTCACGATTTTGACAGACTTTATGCAAAATTTAGTCTGCTCGTTGTTCTCTTAAATATGGTATGAAGTAAACGTGCCTTCTCCTAGGATCGACTGTGTTATTGTCCCAATTTTCATGAAAGACACTTGCACTTCATGCGTCAGTCATCTAGGGATTAGACACATTTCGGTTGCCACCAAACTATTGTCATCCACTCTGCTTCGCAAACCATCCCCACTACGTGAAGCATACTACCGTGATTAATAAGCTGAGTTCCTTCCCAGCTGTGGGTGCGTGGATCGAATCCACGTTCTGCCAAACCCTCGGACACCGCTACCTTTACCACAGCCCCGTCTGTTGTATTTGCCTCCGTTGATTTAGTTACTTTATGGAGTTGCACGCTGAGGAACAGGGTACAAGAGAAGTATACCGCTATTCTACACACACTTAACCTCCGGCAGAGTAAAGGTCTGCGGCGAGCATTCCTCACGCTTCGCTCTCAATAGTCGTGTGTGACAGGGCTGCCCTATATCCCCATTCCAATTCAACTTCGCTATCGAGGATATCCCGTCGAGACCTCTAAAGTTTCTAAAATTTTGACCTAGAGCTTCTTCTGCATGAGCGCGCGACTGTCTTAGGTTAAGCTGATGTTATCGCCTTACTTGGTGGCCGTCCACAGAGTATGCAACTCATTCTGAAATCGTTGATGGTTGAAGCATTTTAGTATGGCCTAAGCTTCGCTCCCTCGAAGTGTCAAGTTTTACTCCGGAATTGGCCCACACCTCTCCTACTCGCTCTTGAAGATGCGCAACTTGAACAGATAGTTCCATCTACCTCGTCATCTGTGCTTAAGCTTGTGACCCTATCGGGAAGGAAGTTCCTCTTCCCATCGTTAAAGCACGATCCTCATTTGTCAAGCTGGGTCACTTGTGCCGTCATCTGGACGTATCCATCTCAATAAAAGGCAGCGCTTAGAGTGCCACTGTTCGTTCAGTGATGTTGTGTGGGAGCGATTATTGGTTAATCCGAGTAGGGAACATGTGCCGTCTTTTCAATCTCGACGCTAGTTGTTTGAGTAGGATCGATCGTGTGTGGTTGCAACACGGAGTTTACAGGGACGACTCTCGACATCGCTTCTTGGGGAATGCGAGCATTCCCTTCAACAAACTGGTTATGCTGCGCTAGTTGTGATGGCCCGACCAAGTCCTACACATGGCGCCTGAGCGTTTGCCGCTCCACGCTCTGTTCTCTCGTGCAGAACCACATTGGAGTCGATCGCGTAGTGGTCAGCCTTCCACTTAGCGGCATCACTTGAGACCGCAGATGTCACGTTTAGCCGCCGTCGGATCTGTACGTCTTCCTGGATGGAGACCAAAAGATGAGGAGTGTCAATGGCTTATCACGCCTAAAAACATGGCTCGCGACTGAAATCAGTGGAAGAACAGTGTACCAAATTGTATTGACTCAACTGTTTAATGCCTCAAACATTGAAAACGACAAAAATGGAGAAAAATCGACGTATGAAAACAAGCCAAATGTTGCGCTCTATTTTTTCCATCTTGTATTTCCCTTGACTCCCATGGTATTTTCGTTGCTTTATATATATATATATATATATATATATATATATATATATATATATATATATATATATATATATATATATATATATATATATATATATATATATACCCCGGCCCTGACCTACTCCACTCACAGCTTCTCAAGTCTCTAACCAATATCATGTTGGCTACCGCGACTGACTTGTACAGCAGGTCCCTCCCGAAGGCTCATTGCGAATTCATTGGAAATGTTTGCTGCCAAGGCCGATTCAGAATTGCAGTGACCCCAGCAAAGTGGACAATCGCAAACCTAGTTGTTTGACACTTATGCTGGTCAGAGTGTCCGCAAAGATTGTGAGGAAAATCTGTTACAGTTCTTCCAATCAAAAGGTCTATTGACGCCAGCACAGCACGGTTTTATGCTAGGTCGCTTACACATTACCAAACTGCTGATGACGAGGCATGAATGGTTGCAAGTAGTGCACGAGGAGAAGTCTGTCTACGTAATCCACATAACTTTCAGCAAAACGTTTAACTTGGTAGACCATTAGGTCCTCCTCGTCAAGCTGAGAATCCGCGGTTTTGGTGAAGCACTGCACCAGTGGGTCCAGGGCTTTGTCGCTGGGGAAACTGGGGTTTACTGGTCGATGGCCATCTGGCGGACTGGTATACCTCCACTAGTGGAGTACCCCCAGGCATGTTGCTGTGATCCACTCTGTTTCTAATCCTCACCAACAATTTGCCTCATCCTGTTCGGTCGTCTTGTTCCCTGTTTGACGGTGACCTGAGGATTTCGAGAGTGAGTAGCATCCCAGACGACCGCGGCCTAATTCATCAAGATCTCAATCTTATCTTCATGTGAGCAGCAGTTTCGTCTCCCAACTAACCTACGCAAGTCGGTGTTCATAAGCCTGGGGAACAGTGGTGACGGCCGAACTTACACCATTGACGGCCAACTGCTAAACCCCACGCCTTCCGTGAAGCACCTAGGTGTACTCTCGCACTACGACTTGACGTTCGTGGATAACACGAACAGGCTATATCACAACGGACTGCTCATGCTATGGGCGACGAAACGTAGCTTCAGTACTTGGTCTGAAGAGATCACCACTGCCCTCATCTCTTCCATCATATGACTATTACTAGGGTAAAGCTGGTCTGTTGGAGTCGAGGCACAGAGTATCGAACAGGTCCAACTCTCAAGCTCATTTCTGGTTTACGAGGATTGTCGTATAATGACGCCGCGAGCAACTAGGATTTTACACTTTGTCGTAGCGTCGGTTGCGATTCGACCTCATCTCTGTGAATTACGCAGGTTGATGCC